AGGCAGAAACCAGCCAGACCCACCAATGAGAGTCCGTTTCAGCCCTGGCGAGAAAAAGAAGCACCAAAGAATTTTCCCTGATTTTCCCAATAAAAGTCTCACCAAAGTTGAAGAAAATGCCACTGAGTTGTCTTTATTTCGCCCCAGCTGGTACGGATGTCAAACTGCAATCCCTTGCCAAAGTCGACATGTTTTTCAAGGCAAAACAGTACATTTTTATAGAGAAAACAAAGCTGTCAAATTTGAATTTCCCACTCCCGCCCCCCTTGCCGGCTTCATGTTGATTGGATGGTCTCATCAGCTGGAGGAGGGGTGCCGGCTCAGGCATGCTTCAGCCAATCAACAAGTCAGCGCTGCTTCGGCCTCTTGGCCAATGGGGAAGAAGGAGGTGGTCCAGGTGGGAAACAATGAAAAATGAATGGATTAAGTGACCTAATGTCTGTATAATCACCGGTGATAACTTTGGCAGTCCTCGAGCTGGCTTATTTATTGTCTTGAGTGTTTGAAATATGCATCTTTGTTTGACCCAAAAGTCAGACCCTTTTGTAATCCTTGGGTCGGGGATATGGCTCCATTGATAGTATCTGTTTTTGGTATCAGCCAGAGGGATGTAAACAAAGAAAGAGGCTGTGGGGACATCAATATCCTCCTCAGGCAGGATGTCCCCCATTGTGAGGAGTGATTGAATCTGCCATGGGGCACATCCTTCAGATGGGCTAACTTGGGTTACTCCGAGGTCTGAAGGATTGTGCCCATTGTCTTATTGTCCATGCAAGAGTTTCTGCTGAGTCCTTTTGTTTAGGGGCTTTTCTGGCCCAGGAGAAGAGAGGAAGTTTCCAAGGGCCCATGTGTGGCTGAGTTCACGAAAGGGTGACATTTCATATTTTATACAGAGATATATATATGGTTCACAAGGTATACATTCATAAAGAGGGGAAAAGGAAATCAGACCAGCCCATCCCACCCACCAGAGTCCATTAAAATAGCAAGAATTCATAAGGTTTGGAAAGAAAAAGTTTTCAAAAAGTTCAAAAAGTTTGCCAAAAGTAGACATGAGCCCAGTAAAGATTTGCAGAGTTCACGAAATTAAGAAAAAAGTTTCTCCGAGTTTATTGGGTTCATATTGGAATCACTGCAAGCACTGAGGGTTGGGGTCCATGCATTGGAGTGAAGAAAACTATAAATCCCATTTCGTCAAGTGACCAGGATGGCCTGTCTGTTTCCCAGGGGTCCCAAGGGGGGACTGCAACAGGTCAACAGGCTTCTATGGCAGCAACAAGACGGTGGCAACAATATGGGGGTAGGAAGCCAGCTGGTTTCCATGTGAAGTTTTGGGGTGCAAAAAGGGTTATTTCTGGGGCGGAGGGGTTAAAAGTGCAAAAGTGATTTTAGCCTCCCCAGGATGCTAAAATCACATCCCGGGTGAGCCAGCAACTGTCTGCGGCTCAGGAGAGGGAAAGTTCATGCTGGAGAGAGTTTAGAGGCAATAAAAGGACACAATGTATCACTGTGGAGAGGAAAAAGTTACAATTTAAAGATACTTTATTGGGGGGTTTGTTACAATGTTAGGGCAAGGGAAGAAAGTGAAGCAAGGCAAGACAAAAGGAGGTCTTCTGGTTGAAGCTGTTGATGCAGTCACATTCCCATCAATGCTGGCTCAATTGAACAACCGGGAACTGCGGAACTCCCCACTGCAGGTCAGATCAGCTTAAAGGCATGGAGCTCCTGGTTGTTCCTCATCAATATTGCATGTGGGATGGAGTAGGCTAATCAGATATCCAAAACTTCTGCCTCGTGTATTTGTTGCCTTGCTTGAGAGAGCTACTACAATCTCTCACAACCTCTACTAGGGAGAAAAAAACCCAGAAATGGTCCCTACTAAAAGGGAAGAAGCAAGTAACATTTGGATCTTTTATATCAGTTCCACACAAAGTGATGGTTCATGGATCAGTATTAGTCCATGAGCCATCAGCTGCCAATGCTTGAAAGGCTCCAGAAGGGAAGGGGAGGCGAGGGGAGGAGGGGCAGGCAGGCAGGAAGAAAGGATATGAGATCATGACTCCACATTTTATATGATTTTTAATCTGTTTGATTTATTGATATGTGTTTAAATTGCTTATATGTTTAGATTGTTTTATATTTTGATAAGATGTGTTTTACTGTTTACCTGTGCAGCATTGAATTTTTGCTGGATTTATAAGCCACCTTGAGTCCCCTCCGGGGTTGAGAAAGGCAAGGTAGAAATGAAGTAAAGAAATTAATAATAATAGTAATAATAATGATTATGAATATGGAAGGAAATAAGCTATTGGGCACAAATATGCTATCAGTCCCTGGCACATTTGGGGCAGGGGGAGAGTACTGGTCCACTACATATGACATTACATACATACGTGTTGTTGTTTATTCGTTCAGTCACTTCCGACTCTTTGTGACCTCATGGACCAGCCCACACTAGAGCTCCCTGTTGGCTGTGACCACCCCTCGTTCCTTCAAAGTCAAGCCAGTCACTTCAAGGATACCATCCATCCATCTTTCCCTTGGTTGGCCCCTTTTCCTTTTTTCTTCCATTTTCCCCAACATCATTGTCTTCTCCAAGCTTTCCTGCCTTCTCATTATGTGGCCAAAGGACTTCATCTTTTCCTACTATCCTTCCCTCCAGTGAGCAGTCGAGCTTTATTTCCTGGAGTATGGACTGGTTGGATCTTCTTGCGGTCCAAGGCACTCCCAGAATTTTCCTCTAACACCACCGTTCAAAAGCATCTATCTTCCTTCGCTCAGCCTTCCACATGCACACATAGACATTCCTCCTTCAACCATGGGTCTGTCTTTTACATAATTAATTGTATATATCTACATACACATAGACATATACAATTACTTATGTAAAAGACAGACCCAGGTTTGAAGAAGACATGGTATTTTCCAACATCCATTCAGAATATGCTATGGAATTTCCATCTCAAAGTTATAGAACTCTGAAGGCGATTCTGCAAACATAATTGATTCCAACCCCTTGGCTCTGTAGGAAATCCACAGCTAAAACATACCTATCAGATACATTCCAAGCTCTCTTTAAAAACCACTAATGTCAAATATAATTTGTAAGACACAAAGCCATTTTTTTAAAAAAAATCCAAAAGAGCCTGCTTTAGTGGTATATCTATAGGGGCAACCAAATGAGGCATTGTCCTATTCTCCCCCTCTCCTCCACTCCCCCTCACAGTGATTCATTCATTTACATTTTTAAACTTTTTAAATTAATTTTCACTGGCATTTCAAAGTTGTTGTAACAAAATTGTGTTAAAAAGCTTTAATACAACAGTGGAAATGGGGGAGGGTGGCAATACATTCTAAACAGGAGGTACAGCGGCAGGATCAAAGAGTGATGAATTATCACAGCTGCATTGGTGTGGAGAGGTTCTATAGTGATGCTCATCATCCTAATAAGTTGCAGTTATTCCTGATCTCACAGATATCAGGGGAAGTGGCATTGTCCACAATATGTGAGATGCTACAGAAAAATAAACTTTTGAGTGTAACTGTTCAGCAGTGGAACTCTCTGCCCCAGAGTGTAGTGGAGGCTCCTTATTTGGAGGCTGGATGGTCATCTGTCAGGGGTGCTTTGAATGAAATTTTCCTGCTTCTTGGCAAGGGATTGGACTGGATGACCCATGAGGTCTCTTCCAACTCTATGACTCTATGACTCTAATGGCTTGTGTCAAGATACAATTCTCCACATAGCAATAGAAACACACAATCAGGATGTTGCTCTTAGCTAGGAGTCAACATTTGCAGTGCTTTTCATTCCCCCTTCTCACCCTGATCCCTGCATAGATCCCACCCCTGCATTTACAGTAAGTTCTATGAGCCTGGATCATGGGAATGTACAAGATTTCCCCTTTTTCTAATGGAGAGTAAATTCCCAGATAGAATTTGCAGAGGTCTTGTCTCATCCATTGTAAACATGGGTCCGTTCTGGCTTTCATATTCACGGGCCACGCAGGTAAAAAGTGCAGTAGTCTTCAATCTCAGTGAAGTGAAACTGACATATAGTATATCAAAACCATTCAAAGGCAAAATACGGCAGGAGCTTTAAGATCTGTGCAGATGAAAAGGCAATCTCTGAGAAAGCCCCCATTTCATGTACTAAGCATGCTTCCCATAAAACTCAAAGGATTTTTACACTATCCATTTTGAGAACTAAAAGAAAAGTCTTACTGTAGTCATACTTCTACAATTATTTCTACTAGACAATGTTCAAAGCAGTATTTATATCAAGGGGAAACACACACTGGTGAATTCTGACATTAAAGAATCTAGGCAGGCCTTAGAAGCACTAATACAACTGTTTCAGAGAAACCTAACATATTCTCACCCTGAAGTACACACTTGGCCATAAATTACACTGGTTACATTTGCAACCTCAGCAGATAAAATGAGTGAGAAATCTCTTAGCTCATCAGGAGCCTCAAAGCTCATATGCAAGCAAAGCTAGCATTGACATTAACAGGGTTACAATAAACTAAATCTACAGGCTCTGGGAAAAGTGTTCCCTTTGCCGCCTTATTTGAACAGTTTTGTTGCCGCAATTGGTAGCATGCTAAATATTCAGCGCTACTTCATCTAGACTAATTAGAGTTCATGGTTTAGAAATGACAACAGGAGATTCATTACGAAGAACATGAGCCCCATTTGTTAACAACTGAATCCTGAGAGAGGCAGATCTTCCCCATTAACATCACTGCCAGTGTCGCTCGGAATAAGACCCATAAAACATATTTGTGTTCTGCTTCTTTTTTCCCTTTTTATTTGCACTGATGTTTTTCATTTCCCAGCCTCCCCTCATTTCTCTGCAGTATTGTGTAGCATTGGGGAATGCTCCCTGAATCATACAACAGAAGAAAACAGTGTTCTCTAATAACAGTAAATTTGAAATGAGCCAAATCTGCAGAAAAAGGCACGCACCACTGGAGGGATACATGCTCAGCTAATTGCAAAATGGTATGCAAATTGAAAATGCTTGTGAATGTTAACATATAAACAGAATGTTTTGCAAGGCAACTGAAATTGTAATCATGCAGAATCTTAGCATTTATTTCATACGGGCTGAGGAACACTTTCTTCTGGTATTGTACCAATGTCAGAATTGGTATGTTAGAGATAATTACTTTCTGCCCTCCAATCCTTATATCTCAAGAGATACAAGTGCAAAGTCTGAGTAAATTTGCTCAACTGGTACACAGTTTTAATAATCTCTAGAGAAACAGCATGGAAGCAAACATCTGAATTCTGCAACAAGGAAAACCTTTTCATTCTCATTTGCTTTCTTACAGAGTGTTGATGGTAGCATACATAATAAGTATTCAGTACTGCGTCTTCACTGGCACAAATCAACTAGTCTAATTTACAGAAGAAACACTGGACAACAAAACCTAAGTCAGGCAAAAGTCTTTTTATTCAGACAGATTTGGAGCCAGGAAGCATCTGTGAAAGGATCTTTTCAGGAGAAGCAGTACTATATCCTACTTTTTTGTGGTATTGAACTCTTTTAACATCACATGTCATTATAATATGACAGCTTATTTAATTTATTTTAAATTATTATTTCATTTTATAACCTGTATTTCAGTAGGATTTTATTTTAACCTTGTAAGACACCTTAGGATCTGCACTGGGAGAAGAGTTGGGGGAAAAATAGAAATATGTTTCAATCAAAGTGAACCACAATTTAAAAAAATTATTGATGTCTCCCGGAAACCGATGCTAATATTGTACCCACTACCATTAGCGAGACTTGGATCATGGCCCAAATTTGTCAAAATGTTAATTACACCATTCATGCAAAGAAAGACTCATGCAATTTTAAATTTGCTACCACTTTAAATAAAATCCACCACCAGATCTATGAATCAGAGCTTAGAAGAGTTATTTTTTGGACAACTCACATAGTCTCCAGCCACTATAGTCCAAAATGTATGTAACCTTTATAAACTCTGTTAAAATGTAGTCTTAATATACAGCATCATAGTAAATGTACAAGATCTGGGAAATGCTTTTCCTACACAAAACCAAAAGAGTCAAATCAGTGAGCACACGTCTGGCAGGGTTGCCGGCCATTTTCATTGCAAGCGGGACATCGCAGAGCTCTGTAGGATTCTTTAAATCTGTTAGCCAACATTGAAAACTTGCTTCCGTGGCACACAGAGCAGGGTGCAGAGCCCGATCCCTTGCACTGGGAGCAACTGTTCTCATCCTCTGCTTCCTGAAACAAAATGGGGTGATTAAAGAAAGTTTCCTTAATAGTAATTTGCACAATGCTATAGCCAAAGTAAATGCACCTTATAAGGTAAATATAGTGGAAACTGCATGTCTGTCTAAAGCAGAGGCAGAGTTCTCCTGTGCTGATGTGATATGCTAATATTGTTCTGTTTGTAACCAGTCCTACAATTAGGCACAGCATGTGGCAGAGGCCCAGAGAAATGCAGGTCTGTAGCCACTCCTTCTCATGCCCCTGACCATTCCATTTTGCTCAAGAAGAGAATTACCATATGTACATCACAGAGCCTAGTCTAGACCCCTCAACTTTGCCTGTTGCCTTGAAGTGTACAGAAGAAAAGATATCATCCTTTTGCCAGTGTAGAAATAAGACTCATCTACCAACTTGGTTGCAGTACATAGAACAGAGAGTGGACTATTATGCCATTTACCATTGGCAGCAAAATGTCTTGGTCCAGCTCTAATTGTACTCCATCTGAACAGGACCTATCTCTGCATGTGTGCAATAAAGTCTACCACATTACAAAATAATCCAGAGCCACATAATCCTGACTGATTTAAGCCTGTGACAATATTTGAGGAGCATCTGCACTTGGACATGTACTTTTCCCCCAAGGTATGGGAATGTCCTTAACTCTGCGATGTTATCCACAGGAATGCTATCTTTAGAAGTCAGGGTAACAGAGGCTTTTGCAATATGTTTGCAATTGTCTATTATTGACACTTGTACATTTGTACTAGAGATGTGGTCAAGAAACAAAGGCACAAGCAGGAGTTTAATCAAAGTCCACCTCCACTCTTTTTCTTTCAAATCCCTAATCGGTTCTCTGCCAGCTAAATCCAAAATATTCCCATTTAGCTGCCCACTGTAGTATGCATTCTAGGCACATTAGCTTCAACTCTCTTAGGTGAGCTTGACTTGTGAATTTACAGTGAGCTTTGATCACCCATTGTTCCCCATCAACCAGTGTGATCATACTAAAGGCATCTCTCCATCTGCATAAAGGGAGATGGTAGTTATGAGAACAACTATAGCTGACACTGTGCTGTTGCTCCAGCGTTACCTAAAGGGCACACCCAGGCAATTTTGCACTGTGCCACTTGGGCAAAGCAGTTTCACATAGCCACCTTAATTAGGCTACTAAAAGGAGATAGCATTTAAAAAATGATTTGTGGCTGCAACTGACACTTCCTTCAGACTTCATACATTGCCATCATAGGCAGCCAAGACAGATAGGAATGATTGGTTTACCACAAGCTGGCAGAAAGGGAGGCCCTTATCCACCTTTTATGCTTCTGACCCTGAGATTAATTGTTTATCTGTGAAAATATAGATAATATACCAGCAATGTATGTGCATGTGATTAGTGCAGCCCACACACATCCGCAAACTATTCCCAACCTTCCTCAGTCTTTTCTGCTATCCACATCGTACCCAACAAATGGAACCTTTCTCCTATGGATATGAAAAGCTAAAAAAGAAACAACTGGCATTTCTTGGAGCACAGCATTCTATTTCTGGGGTGCAGTCATAGAACTGCACCCCAGAGAGTATGTAGTAGTACCCTGGAGAGTATGTAGCAGTACCAAAAAAAATAAAAGCAGAAATTGGGTCAAAAATTTTCTTTTTAGTTTCTCATATTTTTTGTTGTGGCATGTGGTTTGGGGAAAAGAGGGAATTGTCCATAACAGAACACTTCTCAATGGCTGCTGTTGTCCTTTCACATGTTATTGGACAGCACCTCCCCTGCATAATTCGCCATTGGCTGTGCTGGCTTGGGATAGTGGGAGATGCAAATCAATATCATATGGCAGTTCCCTGTCATTGCTGTATGCAAGAGGCAAAGCCAAGGGCATACATGGTGTGCTTCTCAATGAGCAGGATCCATGTTGCAGATGTGCTGCAAAAAAATGGGATAGGAACATGTGTGTAATTAAGCAGGGAAGAAGAACATTAATATTTCTTGTGTGTTGCTTGCTTTTAAACACATTGTCCCTACCTGTATTCTTTTCTTGAAAGTAAGGAACAGAATGAATGACTACAACAAGGACCGAAAACAACCAGTTACCTCACCATCTGTGTGTTACAGGGACTCATAGTGCCAGAGCTGCCCATGCAATGCTTCTCCTTGGAAAAATGTGGCTTAGGGTACCATAATTAGGCCTCAGCACTAGGTAATCTTTAGTGCTTTACCTATATACACGTGTTTGTAGTTGCATAGCACATGAACCAGGAAGTTCCCCTCATGTGGATAGAGGTTTTCCTAACCTGTGTCACTTAAGTCATAGAGATACAGACCTCATTGATGCATTCTGAGCTGTCATCTATGCCTTTTTCGATTTTGATGGTGCAAATCTGTAAGGTTGATTTTCAGACAAAGGGGTAAGTCAATTAAAATGTCTTTCTTTATAGTATCAAGTAAACTGCCATTAACATTCCATAAACCCTGAATTTCAAAAGCCCTTATTAGGCTATCTGAGAAAATGCTTTAAAAATGCTTTAAAAATTCTCTTTTCTTTTAGTCTACACATTTATTTTAACTTACTTTACTTTTGCCTATGAAGGATTCTCTCAAATACAATACAGCATCCAATATATTCTAGGACTTTGCATAGATTTGCAAAACTGCAGATAATAGTGAACACTGTTGAAAAAAAGGAATTTTTGGTTCAAGAGTACTGTAGAGTTGTGCTGGTGGACCTAGAAAATGCCTAGAGGTCACATATTTTTGCCAGACAAGAATAAATGAAACTATGGCTAGTGGCTACTAGTCCCACAAACATAGGGATTTACAGCATGTAGCAATTGCTACTTCTTTGCTTTTGAGATCTTCCTGCTTTGAGTTTTATTTAGAACCTCATCAGATGACCAGAGGCAGTTGACAGCGGTGCTGCTCTTAAGGGCAAGGCATGGAGACTTGTTTCGCTTTGCCTCATTTCACTCTGCTAGCCGGCAATCACATGGATGGAAGTGCAGTGCACACAGCTTCCCCCTGCCACCTAGGCCTGGAACTGGCAACATGGGAAGCCTCCTGTGTTGCCTGGATGGTAGAGGGAAGTTGCGCACATTTTATGTGCACCTTGCTTCTATCTATGTGATTGCCGGCCAGCGAAACAGAGTGAAATGAGGTGAGGTGAAACAACTGCTTCCCTGCCTCACCATTAAGAATGGCACCACCATCCACTGCCTATCTGACAAGGTCCTATAGACTAAGCCAGCCAGGTTCTCTGCTAGAGGGAACAGTTATGCAATAACAATTGAGGTTCTGGCCACATCTAGGGTGATGCTGGAAAACAGAAAAGGAAGGATCTTGCTTTACCTGCTTGTGCTGATTGTGGTCAAGGTCATTTTCAGTGTCCTTCACATTCCTTTCGGTTTGGTTGCTACTATTTCCTCTTCCTTCTTCACGATACATGAAAGAGTAGTCATCAATACCTTCATCATGCATGATTTTTCTCACCAACTCTTTCTTAGTCATTGGTGTTCGAATGATTTTCAGATTGCTGGTGTAGATGATGATTTTTCCAAAATCTAAAACGGGGGGAGGCTGATATAACATTGGATATATATGAGTTTTAAAATGGTCAAAAGGCCTTTGACTGTCTTAGCAAACTCCATACAGTGCTCAGTTCTGACAAGCTTGCTTTCTGCTAAATGCACACACACACACACACACACACACAAATACAAATAAATGTACTTCCATTGTGTTTCTAGCTGAACTCTTATATACTCATTGTATGACACATCACATCCATCTCCACCTTAAGTTTCCAAATACAGGTTAAAAAGTAACCTCGTTAAAATGCCACAATAAAACAATTAAACTATAACCAAAACAGTGAAAAAGATGTACAAGTGACAAACAAGATAGGTTCTGCAACTTTGTTCTTAAGTTGAATTTGTATGTAAGTCGGCACAGGCACATTATTAAAGTGTAACGTCATACACACACATACACACACATACATATAGCTTTGGATAGGTTAGGGAAGGGTTAACACCCTTGTAGTGTTTGTTTTGCTGTCTGTGCCCCTGTTCAGACAATTTCACCTTACTTCCTGTCCCTGTGATAATTGGATTTTGAACAAATTGGCTTGTTGTATTGAAACAAGGATTGGTGAGAAAATTGAGACATCTTTTCCCTATGATACCTCTTCCAAGAATGAATTTCCCTTCCTGAGGGTAGATTTCTCTCACTTCCTATTGTCTCACCTGTGATCTTAACTGTGAGTCATTTGTAAATTGGATGTTTGTAACTTGGGACTGCCTATAATGATGCATCCTCTATCATTCTACTTTTTAGCTGTTTTTAAAATGTCCCAGTTTCTCTCTCCACTTTCCACTTTTCCTCTGATGCTGAGTTCATCTGATGCTGAGTATAAAATGCAGAAATATTTTGCACTCAGTTAACTCAAGAGAAGACAGGAGAAAGGGGCAGATTTTGAACTTCCTGTAGGCTTAAGTAAAGCAAATTGTTATAGGAGATTATGACACTATAAAGTGCAGTTTAGCTAAGGGCCTTTAAAATTCTCCCTCACAAAACTATAAACCCCAGAATTCAACAGGAGGCAGCCACAGGATTTAAAGTGAGATAGCAACTCTTTAAAGCAGTGGTTCCCAGACTTTGGTCCTTCAGTTGTTTTGGAATTTAACTCCCAGAAATCCCAGCCAGTTTACCAGCTATTAGGATTTCTGGAAGTTGACGACTAAAACATCTGGGTACCCACAGGTTGAGAGCCACTGCCATAGTGTCTCCTAAGTGATATGTTCTTCCTCAATAATTTTTCCAGCTTGATTATATACTGATATTGCTTGGTGGCACGTGGCATGTTGGAGAATGTGGGATCTAAATAGCCATTGGATCAGGATCTTTTCTTGGATGCTTCAGTTTATACAAATACATTTCAATATAGATTCCACACATGTAGGTGACTCTTATGAAATGAAAGCCTAAGTCAGCCAGTGTAAAAATGTTTTTAACATTACTATTATTATTATTATTACTACTACTATTATTTAACACATACATTTTAGATAACATCGAGCAACAATCAGACTGTAAAGAGAAAGTAACAAATATACATGTTTCCACAACTAACAAAAGTCGAAAGGTTAAAGTAGAATACATTGAAACACTGAATACTACACCTGTAACACTAAGTTAAATAAACACAAGTGAAATGTTACTTTCAATTAATATACTAGCTCTAGTCTTTTTTTATAAATAAACTCTAAATTTGATTTTAAATATGGTATTATTTTAACTCTGTTTTTATTTGTCTTTTATTGTGCTTTGTTTTTTTTTACAATTCAATGTTTTATACTATTTATCTGTATTGTTTCATTTATTGTTTATTTTTCTGGCATTGAATGTTTGCCTTTTATGTTGTAAGCCATCCTGAGTCCCCATAAGGAGGTGGGGTGGGATATAAATAAAGTTTGTTTGATTGATTATTTTTACATATAATTCAATTCTATATATATATATATATATATATATATATATATATATATATATATCCATCTCAAAGGATCACTAATTTCCATTCTTTTTGGAATGTATACCAGTTTCTAGGTATGCAAATAAGAGCTGGATAACTTAAGGCCCTCCAGATGTTTTTGGACTTCAACTCTCGTCATCCCTTACTACAGGATAAGATGGCGAGGGCCATTGAGACTTTGCAGTCCAAGGACATCAAGAAGGCTCAGATTTTCCACAAACCTAATGTAAATTATGATGAGGTCAAGTCTGTGTTGTAGAAAGAAGATAAACATGGTATTGCATATATTTTTTTGCGTTTCTCAAGTAACAGTACTGCAGAACTGAAGAATTTTCTATGACGTAGGATACATCTTTGACAACCCTTGAACTGCTATGGTTCAATGCTATGGAATAATGATGAGAATTATACTTTTATATAGTCTCTGTAGCCTTCTCTGCCACCGGGTAGGTGTCCCATCAAACTACAATGATTCCATAAGCTTTGAGCCATGGCAATTAAAAGTAATGTCAAACGGCATTAATTCTAGAGATGAACACTAGACTATATTCTGTTGGGTTAAGTTTTCAAAGTTAGGAAGAAGACCGAATGAAGATTGCTTCCTAAATCTTGGCCTTTTCTTCCCTATTTATTTTTTAAAAAACTCATTTATAGTTTACACATTGAATACCCCAGAACATTTACCTACCCACATGTCCTCACTTATGAGGTAGCAACAACAGTGATTGGTACTGTTATATTATCCGGGTGGAGGCCAAAAGGGGTCCTGGACATGGAAGAATGGTCCATTTTATGGGGGGGAGGGAGTTGAAGGAGTTAAACCATTTCCCCCTATTATTCCCCCCACCCATATCGCTATTGTGAAAACAAACCTCTTTTATGAAATAGGAAGTGGGAAGGGGAAATGAGCAATGAAAATATGGGAAATTGTTTTCCTCCTTCACCTCACCTCCCCCAATAAAATGGACTACCTTCTCGGTCTAGCGCCCACTTTTGGCCTCTGCTCAAATAATGGAACAGTACCCAGTGGTTTGTTCTCCATCTACTGGGAAGCAGCTGACTAACATTTACACCCTTCCTCCAGTGAGTGATCTCTGGGTCGACAGTCAGAAGCAGGGTCTCTTTCTCAATCCTCCTTTGCACTGGAGATCATTCACAGGAGGAGGGGTGTAAATGATAGTCGGTTGCTTTCTAATCAACAGCAGAGCAGACCCCTGCTGCTCAAAGTAGCTACTGCCTAGTCAGTGAGGACTGGGGAACTTTTATAATCTTTAGATATTCCCTAAACTAGTGTATATATAGGGGTCATGAATATGAACATATGAACCAGTCATGATTACAGAAATACAGGTTATGCATTCATAACTGCCTTAGTGAATTGCAACTGCTAATATTTACTTAACTCAAATCCACCACCACTACCACCCCCTACCCCCCCCCCTTTTTTTTTTTTTTTTTGAATCAGCAGAACAAAGAAGAAATATGACCTACCATATGACTGTCATCCGGCTGGTCATCATTCAGGAGGGAAGGGCTACTTGTGAGTGTGTATTTATTCCCCTCTCTGAATACACTTATTCTCTGTGTATTCAGTTTAGTTGATGGATAAAAACTGGTTTCTGAAGCTTCACCAATCCCAAAGAAATGGCTTCTCGGTTCAAAGTTCCAGTGTCGAAAACTATGAGGATATTCCACCTGCGGGATCTCGAGTTCCTGCCCATCTTCATAGACCTGCTTTAAGACGCGACCACTGTATGCCGAGGAGATTTTGAATCTGACTTTTCGAGATCTTGCATCATGCCTCTGATTCAGTTTCTTCTGAAAGTCATCCATGGATCCAAGTTTTGGATGCTGCTTCCCAGAAATTAGTTCAGCAAGGACAGTGTTGGGCGTAGACAAGAACCTGCTCCCAGTCAGGTAGGCAATGTATAATTCAAAGGTTTTGTTCACTCCTCTCACATTACAGTATAAAGGGACACCTTGACATTAAACATTGATGGGACCCCAGAAAGGGAAAAACATATGCTGTAATGAAGTATAAGAAGAAATGTGTTTAGATGAATCAATTGGTTTATCATATGTTGCAGTGTTCTGTGTTTTAAGGAACAATATGTAAAGCATTTGACAGCTAGTGGCAAATAGATGTATGTGCATATTTGCACCAATTTCTTAGTAACAGGAAATATTTCAAGCAGACAGCATCCACACATTATTTAGCTATTGCATTGCGTCATCTCATCTGAAATAAATTAAAAGAACAAGTAACAGAGTGTTAAACAATGTATCAGCACTGAGCTAAATAATTTATTTTATCACAAAAGATAGCAAAAGATGATAACTTGAATCCTATTAATTAGTCCCAATTATAGGAGACCCATTCAATAATTAATTATTGATATGTAAATCAACATGTCAAATCCCAAAGATTGAGGTTTACGTTGTTGTGAAATGTGAAAATAGTACTGTATCTCCCAAGCTGAGTAATAAAATAGGCAAAAGATGAACAATAACCAGTAAAATGTCCCCACCCACACCAAGAGTCCAGCAGAGAAAAGGAATATGATTAGTCTTCTTTGGAAAACATATAAAGTAGCTGTACTTACTAATACTTGATCATAGTCAAATAAGTGATCTAAGGGAGGAGAGAGAGAAGAAGGAAGAGCAAGCAGTTATATGTTAGCATGATACAGGAAGAGAGTGGGTGTGCCTGCAGACAAGCAAGCTCTCAATTACCTAGTATCAGCAAGACATGCAAAGATTGCTAAAACCATCCAAGTTGAAACTAACAATAATATCCAGACTAATCATTGCAATTATTTCTCAAAGAGAACAAAAACTTTCAACTTAAGACAAAACATAGGTTGGAGCCATACCCCAGAGAGCAAAAAATCTCAGACCACAGCCTCCACACTGCTAACTCAGAACAAGGGGCCATTGATGTAACCCTCTTGTGCATTTAATTCTACTCTTAGTAAACAATACAGCATAATTGTTACAGCTACCCTACATGCCATCATTCCTAGTGCTGTGGAAGAATTTCAGTGAAACAAAGACTTTGACAGTAGATTTGCAAAGCAGTACTCCTCACAATAAAACATCTTTTCTAGTCCAATCCAAGTATTCTGCACTTGGGAGAAAGACCATTTGTGGGCTTAATCCAAAATTAGACAAATGTATAGGGTTTCGCTTGTAAACAATATATTACTTGAAGATAAAAATGTAATGTTAGATGTGAAATTTTTTGTCGTACTCTTTGTCCTTCCTGCTTGTAACATAAATGGTTACCCTTCTCATCTAAAATTCCTCTTTAAAAAGCCCAGTGACACATTCAGCAATACTAGTGAATTTTGTACTAAATAAAGTATTGTCACACTCAGAATGTAAGTATCCATTCTGTATATGATACAGAAGCACCAAGTTGTTGTAGTCATTAATATCTGGTACTCAAGTACACTTCTTGTAAATTCTGGTAGAAACAGAGACCTTGTCTGGGAGTCTATTGGGGGAACTGGGTTAGCACAAAAATTGAACTTGCATGAAAATTATGCAAGTTCAATTTGCCATGCTCCCCAAATTTCTTACAATGTAGAGAATGAGACAGTCCTGATAATCATAAATACCTAGAATTCTTATATTTCCAGTGTTTGCAATCTCTTGGGAACTTCAATTGCCATTTTTCTTTGTATTCCTAAATGGTCTTCCTAAATATTCAGATGAAGTTTTATTGTGATTCTTCAAATGTAGGGACTGAATTTAAATGTCAACAAGTGTGCGTGTCATTGAGGCAAACAATGTTCACATTTTGCCCACYCTGACAGGTATACCCCTAATTTGTGTATATGCTAGTATTGTTCCACTACAGTTCACAGTTGTGCAAGTGAATGTACAATGAATGCCAAGGCTTTGAGCCCATGTACAACAATGTAATAATTCTTCACTACCAAGTCATAACAATTGGCTCAATAGGATCTGCACGTAAATGACTACTGAAAATTAGTAGTCATTTACGTGCAGATCCTATTGAGCCAAGGGGTTTAAATGACCTTTGTTCAAAAAGTTATTGCAATGAATAACTTGAAAATAATGAGTTTAGCTAAAAGCTCATTACTTCATCTCAGTACTGTATTTGCTGTGCAGTATATTGGATTTCTGCTGATTGCCCAGAATAAACTGACTATGGAACAGGGCAGGGGAAATTTAAATGCCAATTTCTTGACAATTTTGTCACCTGATTGTCAGGTCAGATACACAATTAATACAAATTTTGTGGCATTTCAGTAGATTACATTTTGGGATTTTTCAATAGCAATAGTAAATGGTGATATGCAGCTAATTCCTGCTACTGATGGTATGGCTAAAATTGGTGGCATGATGTTCCCCTCCTTACTTGCTCTCAAAATCTACTTTGGATGATTGGGTCCTTCTGGAGCAGCTAAATGGGGAAAAGCAATGGGAGGAAAAGGCAGATATATAAAAGTAAAAATATGTATGTATATTTGTAACTCAAAGGCTTCTACATGGATTGATGAATTTGGAACAAATTTGACACACTCACCTGTTGTGATCCAACAAAAAATACTGCCATGATTTTAAAAACACTTCTGGGGGGGGGGGGTAGGATTCCAAAAGTGGATAGATATGTGCAGCACTTGGTGCTCCCATCAGAGGGAAGTATATAGATAGAAAGACTACCTCAAAGAAAGACATGACAAATGGAAAATTGCTATAGCATTAACAGGGAGACAATCTATGTTGTAAGTTTTTCAGGCTATATGGCCATGTTCCAGAAGCATTCTCTCCTGATGTTTCACCGGCATCTATGGCAGGCACCTTCAGATGTTGTGAGGTCTGTTGGAAACTAGAAAAATGAGGTTTATATATCTGTGGAATGTCCAGGGTGGGAGAAAGAACTCTTGTCTAGGTGAGGCAAGTGTGGATGTTGCAATTGGCCACCTTGATAAACAAAGCAAATGACCTAGCAGTTTTCAAGGTGTGACTTCTTACTGCCTGGGGGAATCCTTTGTTGAGAGGTGATTCGCTCTCCCTTTGAGAAGCCATGGCCCCTATAGTGACAGACAAATTGACATCTTGAAAAAAAAAAAGCCCAGTATGAGGACTACCATGAGGCAAAAAGTACAGCCCTGAGGACCACAATCAAAACATCCACCATATAGGAAGGAAGCAATTGAATTAAGACTTGTATTTTGGAGAGGGTTAGTGTGTGTGCACGCCTGTGCCATGCTCTGAGGATGAGAGAGTGGGACTTCCAAGAAAATAGTGAAAAGTCACTTACTTAGAGTATTGTTTAAAGAAGTTTGTTTATAATACTGCACTCAGGAGTAAATGTCTTTTCAAAGCTGAAAATTTACATTTATAGTATGTTATTGACTAACCATTGCATTCATCGTTGACTAATTAATGTGTTCATCATCTACTTCATCCAGCATTAAAATGAGCAATGGTTGTGCTTCCTGGGGATATTGGAAGTTCTATAATGGCTTTCCACAGTTCTGCTTTGCCATTGCTTTGGCAAAGGCACAATTAGGTTAAAAATTGGTGCATTTTCTTATTTGTAAATTACATTGAATAGACTGTTGCAAGAAATCATTTCTTTACTTTCAGTTGATTTTAATAAATGGGATTAATGTATTACTAATACAGTTACTCTTCTTTGCAAAGCTTTGTTTATGGAAACAATATACAGATATGTATTTGTGACTTGATATCTTCTGTCAACCACAAACAGAATCTTGCCAATGGCCAAAATTGATTTTTTTTCCTTTTCTACAAGTACAATTTTGCTTGCGCACAATTTACTGTTATTGCATAGCATGGTGGTGGGCAAGTTCCTACTGGCATTTTTTTAAAAAAATAAAAAAGTGTTGGAGGGGATTTGGGGGGGGGTGTTTTGTTTTTGCCTCCAATGTCTTTTGTCATTATTAGGCCATTTTGACCATATTTTGCCCTCCCCTCCCTGTGCCACTTTAGGGTTTTTATTTTTTTAAAGAACAGATAATGATTTCCAGTTATTTTCTGTAATTAAGAAAAGTATTTACTGGGATTAAAATTGCCCAGCATGCCATGGTGAAGATTCTCCCTATACTTCTACAGGGATCATTGCAATCATCATCAACAATAACAACAAAAACAACAACAAAATGTTCTAGTGATGTTGTCCCCCAAAAGAACAGTGGATGTATGCCCTGTGTGCTGTAGCCAGAGGTAGAGGATAAAAAATGAAGCCTTTATTCACAGTATGCATAGAAAGGTGTGCTTGGCAATCATTCGCAAAGCAAGCATACTGCTTATCCATTTACAAACCTTTTTAAAGCTTCTAACTAACAGCATGCCTCTGTCTGATGGGTTTTTTGCCACCTGCCTTGGCATTCGTTGATTGGTTACAGTTTGCTTATGACCTGCAAGAGAAGTTAACGCATCATGCAGTAGCTTACACTTACTACTAAAACATTCCACTGCTTGGCACTAACTCTGAACGACCATGGCCCAGTATCTACATTGCACCACTGCCAACTCTTTCTAAAAGGCCTTCCTAGGAGATAAGTTGCTTGGAAGGGATAGCCATCTCCTCAGTCACTCTTCTTACGTCACCTCTGTTTCCAGGACCCCTAAAAATGAGCTACTGCTGCCACTTCTCTCCCTCCCTTGGATGGTGAAAAACCAAAAGCTACCAATTCCATTGTCACAACTGGCAATAGCATATTTTCCTTTGAGTGGGGGCTGGAACATGGGAACAGGTTGCTCAGGGCCAGAAAGAAGCAAAAATTACTCTTTGGCTATATCCACTTTTGGTGTATAAAGTTGCATAGTCTTGTGCTATAGCTAAAGTCTTGGAATTGCTCTGCTTCTCCTGGTTTCCTGGTGGATAGACAATTCTCATGTTGTATGTGAGAAGGATCCCCATATCTCCGCATTTTCAGCTAATTCTTAAGTAGACTGGTTCTCTAAGGACAATTTCACATATACTAAGAACTGGTAAAAGCAAAACACATAGACAGGAGACCCATTTTCACATCTTTTCCTACTTCCAAGAGAGTAGATTCACATTATGAGGACTGGAGGGAAACAATTTGCCTTTTATATTTCACTTTGATGGAAAGTCTAGTAGGAGGAACTGTGCAGTAAACATTGTGATGAATTGTGCAATGTTGTTCAAATCACCACAGCCACAATAGTTAGACGAGCAG